CCGTGTCTCCCTCTCTCTCTGACCCTCCCCTGCTCATGCTGTCTCTATATCTCTCTCAGAAATAAATAAAACATTAAAGAAGAAGAAGAAGGAGAAGGAGAAGGAGAAGGAGAAGAAAATGGGAGGTAGGGAGGACAGGCCACTTCTCCCAGTCATTCCAACTTCTACATCTAGCCCCCCAGCATCTTAGTAGATCCCAGGGGGTCACAGCTAGAAGGAGTCTTAGAAAGCCCTAGATGTTAGCTGAAGGGCTGAGGCCCAGAGAGGAGAGAGAGCCTGAGCAAGATCTCCCAGGTAGTTTATAATAATCCCTCACAGAGTTTACTAAATACTTTCATGTCCATCATCTCGCTTGGATATTCACGACCACCAGGTGTTGTAGGCAGGAACTATTATCCTATTTTACAAACGAGGAAACAGGTTCAGGTAAGTGCCCATGGCTTTCCTCTTCCCTACTAAATTTCCATTGCCACCCACCCTCCCCTCCTCTCTTGCTTTCTCTTGCTTTCAAATAGGTTCAGACTATACTCATAATCCCAGGAAGATTGCTACTCAGCTCCAAGTAAGCCATAAATCAAGTTTTAAAATATTTGTTGTGTTCCCCATACTCTTACCCCATCTAGCATGATGGAGACATGATAGAGCATAGTAATTATGCTGGGTACACTTTGGAATCAGATCTGTGTAAATATCCAGTATTCATCCCTTATGAATTCCATGACCATTAACTTCTTTGTGCCTCAGTTTCCTCATCTGTAATATGGGAATATTTATACCGATCTCTTGAGATTCTTTTATAGGTTAAATGAGATGAACAGGCAATTTCATAGTGCCTGGCATATAGTAAAGGCTTGAGAAATATTTCTGGCATTTATAATTATCATACAGTCATAGAACAAAATGATCTTCAGGAATTAGCTCCTTAGCTTCATGCCATTTACCAATGAACTTAAGTGGAGTTAAGTGGGGAAGGTTACTATGTGAAGTAGGCTTGTGTACTGGTTTGACTGTACTCCTTCCCAAAGTGCATGTCTACCTGGAACCTCAGAATGTGAACTGGTTTGGAAATAAGGCCTTCCCAGGTGTAAAGAGTCCTACTACATTTAGGTGAGCTGTAAATCCAATGTGACTGTTATCCTTATAAGAAAAGAAGAGGATGTACAGACATAAGACTCCCAAGGAAGAAAACCACGTGAAGACAGAGGCGGAGACTCAGATGATGCAGCTATAAGCCAAGGATTGCCTGAGCCACCAGAAGCTAGGAGAGAGGCAAGGAATGGATCCTTCCTCAAAGCTCCCTCCCCCAAAGATCCAACCTGTCAACTCCTGGATTTCAGATTTATAGCCTCCAGACTGAAAGAGCATAAATTTCTGTTGTCTTTTTTTTTAAGTTTATTTATTTATATTTATTTAGAGAGCATGAGCACAAGCAGGGGAGAGGCAGAGAGAGAGAGAGAGAGAGAGAATCCCAAGCTATTAGCACAGAGCCCGATGTGGGACTCAGACTCAGGAACAGTGAGATCATGACCTGAGCCGAAATCCAGAGTCACACGCTTAACCAACTGAGCCTCCCAGGTGCCCCATAAATTTCTGTTGTCTTAAACCATCTGGTTGGTGGTAACTTGCAGCCACCATTAGGAAACTTACATGGCTTGTGAAGAGGAAGAACTCCAAAAGAGTTCTAAATTCTTTTTCTCTAGTCTAGCCCTTCTAGTCTACTCCGTCACCTCTGCAAAGCAGCAAATAAACATTTATGAACGCCTACCTACAAAGTGTACCTGTTTGGAGAAAAACGGACACAATTTATAATCTTTACCACTTCTTCTGAGGTTGTTGCCTGACACACTATAGGCATTTAATAAATATTTACTGGCAAATTGATAAAGTAATGGATATACAGGTGTTACACAAATGTAAGGTATTATTATGAACTCACTTGCTGTCTCTTTGTACACCTTTGTACCAGATTCTAAATTTATTTACATTTTTTTTGTGTTGAAGAATCGCAAAACTCCAGAACTCTCTCAGACTGTAGCCTAAGGGTCTCCACAAAGTTCATAAACTCTGCCTGTCCACTACCTCCAGAGGTGATGAATGAAGAGGAAATCAATCTGAACACCCCCAGGACTCTGATTCCTACCAGACAGGAATGATGTCATTCTTGCTGGGTCCTCCCACACTCACTCAGGAAGGGGCAGAGGGGGCTCAAGGGATGGGGTCGGGGGAGCTGCTGGTTGCCTTAAAGGAAATAAACCACAAAGCACTGCCCTCCCAGTCCCCCTGGGAGTAGAAAGGGTGGTGGTGGGGTAACAGCTACAAAGGAAAGGAGGAGAAGGAGGGAGGAGCTGATTCACTAGAACAACTCTTCCAGTGACTCAGAAGCTAGCAGAAAATAGCCTGTTCTCCCACATCTGCCTCATTGTCAGGCAATGAGGCACTTCCTCATTGCAAACACCGAGGCAGGGCCAAAGGGAGGAGGAGGAAATGGGATTTTTCAAATTTGTGGGCCTATTCCAGCACCTCACGGTCCGTGTTTTTAACCATGCCAGACATTCTGTTTTAAGTCAAGTCGGTATTCATTGAGCACCTACTGTGTGCCCAGCCTGCATCTCGCCTTTCAGATCTGTCGGTCTCCCGAACACAAGGAACGGAGTCTTTCAGTTCTGAATTTCCTACTTCATTACTTCAAAAGCCCTTGGGCTGCTGTTGAGCACCTCAGCACGACTTGCTGTCCTTAAATAGAGATGACTCTCAGGCTTACAAGCAATAGGGCAGGCAGGCAAGGAGCCTTTTTCTGGCTCTGATGGCGGTTTTATAGTCTTCCGGGCTCATTCTCTGGACCAGCCCTCCTTGTGAGAGTTAGTGTTCAGGGAGCAGAATATGGGGCAGGTTTGGAGTCATACATCCTTGTTGGAAGTTCTTTCTTTGCCATTTGCCATCACTGTGACCTTATTTGATTTCTTTTAATTTCTGTCTTCTTAGGAAGATAGGAAAGATTTATCATATAGTAGTGCAGATTGAGTTATGGTATCATATGAAAGTACCTGCCACTGTGACATGATAAATTCTGGCTTACTTGCTTTAAAGTTCTCTGTAACTGCACAGACTGACCACATCCCCCCATCAGACTGTAAACCCCATAAGGGCTGAGCTATACCCCTGTTAAGGACTAAGTCTGCCTAGACGAATACCGATGTGGGAAACAAAGCAGAAGGAAATGGCAGATAAAATTAAATCTCTTCATAACCTGCAGCCCAAAGACAAATACTTGAGGCAGGCAGAGCAGTATGTTTCTCCAGGAACTCCCTACTGGCTTGAGGTTAATGCTTTGCTAAGGGGAAAAACAACCTTAACTTGACAATAGCTCGGCCTGCGGAATCTTGTGAGTCTTCTTTAGCATATAAAAGTCTCACGGGAAACTTCCCCCAGACTTTGCCTCCCCCAACTCCACAGTGTATAACCAGTCTCTCCTCATGGTCCCAGGGCCGCTCTTTCTGCCCATGGGTTCTGTCCCCGTGCTTTAATAAAACCACCGTTTTGCACCAAAGACGTCTTCAAGAATTCTTTCTTGGCCATTGGCTCTGGACCCCACGAGCCCCACTAGCACCCCATAATAACCTCATCAAATTCTATGTCCGTAATAGCATCTTGCTTAATAATTGTTATGAATAGGAATAATGTATGAAAAGCAATACGTTATTTATGCATTGTAAATATTTAATCGAATCATAAGTATGTATTATATTGTATTTAAAATAATGTGGTTATTATTAGGGCGTCTGGGTGGCTCAGTTGGTTAAATGACCGACTCTTGATTTTGGCTCAGGCCATGATCTCCTGGTTTCTGTCCGCTCTGCGCTGAAAGCAAGCAGCCTTGCTTGGGATTCTCTTTCCCTCTCTGCTCCTCTCCCACACACTCAACAATAAATAAATAAACTTAAATAATAATAATAATATGATTGTTATTATTTTAACCAGCTAAATCAACCTGTGAACTGGAGTGCAGTCTATGGAAAAGGCATCCCGAAACCTTAACCTCAGTTAGGGATGCAGTTAAGGAAGCATCCCCTTCCTTCTCCAGATTATTTGGTCCTAGGAGGGTTAGGTGCTACCAGCAAGATCTGCATTCCTGTGCTCACAAGAAGGGACAGACATTCCTTGCATCCTCTACACCGTCCTTTGTTCCTGCTTCACTGCAAACGCCATTGACCCCCGGTATAATGGGGCCAAGGACACAAAGATGTCCCCTCATCTGACCAGCATACCCTGGAAAACCTTGACAGGCTAATTTGCAATTACTCGACTTCTGCCTGGAAGGTAGATCGGACTGGGTTTTGCTCTCCCAGGGGCTACCCCGTGTCCCCGCGCCCAGGGCTCCAGTGCTAGTAGCTCTCTTCCCAATGTTAGGTGAGACGAGAAGGGCAGGGTGGGGCGGGGGCGGTCTCCAGGTTTATCATCTTTGCGCTCTCGCTTCCAGCACCATACCCACAAGCTTGTCCAAGAGAAAGAGACTGCAGGAAAGCCACGTTCCCGGGTTTTCAACAACTAATTCTAAAGCAGACCCCAAAGGGCACTTCATTTATTAACATTTTGGATAAAATGAAATGTTCATGTCCCAATCAATCTGGGTCCCCAAAGCCCGCCATTCCCAAGCTTCCCAGACCAGTGGGGCAAAGCACGAAACACTCGCCACCGTCTTGCCCAGAAGCCGCCCGCAAGGTGGAAAGTTGCAGAAGCGGAGCCGGGAGGGGCGCGAGCCCACCCCCGAGCCCGGGCCGGAGGAGGGCGCTTCCTCCAGGAAGTGACGCGAGCTCAATCCCGGCCTGGCTCTCCCCAAACAAAAGGGATCTTGGGGCCCCGGGAGGAGCCTAAATGACATTGGAGAAGCCCCTCCTCCAGCCCGCGCGCATTGGTGCCGGGGCCGAGGAAGCGAGGTGACGATTGGCCCTGGCGAATGCCAGTGCTCCTGCCCGGCGGTTGAGGGGCGGGGTCTCCGGGGCTGTGGATGGGAGCGGGTGGCGGAGGCGGCGGGGAGCGGAGCCCGGAGCGCCGGGGAAAGGTAGGAGCCGCCGGGGCTGGGGTTTGGCGGAGGCTGGGAGGCCGGGTTCTCGAGAGAAGAGCAAGGGTAGGACTCCCGGTGGGGTCCCGCCACAGTCCCAACTGCCACTTGCGCCCATCCCCTGAGGGGGCGGGGCCGCCTCCTCCGCCTCCCGGTATTCCCCGAGGAGGCGGCTTCTCATCCTCCGAGGGTCCTCGCAGCTACTTATTGTCCCCGGTCTACCCGGCTTCGCAGAAGGGGCTTCCCTCCTGACACCCCTCGCTTAAGGGACCCCCTCGCCCAGCGTCTCAACCTTGGGGAGGGCGCACAGGTTCCCATTCTCTAGGCTGCCGCCCCCGCCCCCATTTTGTACCCCCGGGAGGCCAAGCATCCCTCCCTACACTTGTCCCTGCTCGCCACAGTGGGATCAGAGTTAGTTTCATGCGTAAAATAAAATCACTGTTTTCCAAAAACGAGAGGCGAGCGAAGCAGAAATGAAGACCTGACCTAGACAACCAGCTCCTCAGATGAATCGGCCTTCCCCCCACTTAAGTTCTTCCCATCCCCCATTCTCTGATCCTCAGCCTTCCTCCTGAAGCCCCTCGGATCCTCTGTCACCGGGGCGGGGGTCGAGAGCTCACTTGCTTTGGGACTGTTCCAGATTCTGGAGGAAGGAGGAATAGTAACTCCCCACTTCCCCATCACCCTTTTACCTTCCCACCACTCTCTGTTCCTTGATGGAGAACCCAGCTTCCAGGGGTTTTTTAGGTTCGGGTTGCGTTTCATTTTTGCTTTCTATCCTATATCTGCCCTGGGAACTTGAGGAAAAACCATCCTTTTATGTTTCACATTGAGGTGGGTGTGTTGGATATCTGCAGAGTTGGCCTTTCTGGGTAGAATGCAGTGTATATTGTTTGTCAGTGAATAGGAGCATGTTTTCTCTTAAAACAGTGCCGATAAGTAAATAAAGAGCATTAGATTAGGAATGAGTGTCCCCCACTCTAGGGTGGGTTGGTCCGTTGCTCAGGGAGACTGCAGTTAACCTTGAAGGTATAGTTCTGTTGAAACAAAAGGCAGGAAGTGTTGGAAGAAAATTCAGCTTCACCCATCCATGGTTTATGATTAATCCGGTCCTTTGGCCTTTGGTTACTCTCTAGCCCCTCTTTTATGGTGGGTTTTTCCCTCCAGGGGAAACTGATACATACATGATGTTGTTGATTGGTTTTACAAGACCAGTATCTCCTACCAACATTTAGCGGATGACAAGTAACAGCAAATTTTAAATTTCAGCGAGAAGGATAAATAAAAGCAAAGTTAACTCCAGCTCTTTACCTACTTGTAACTACCAAGTGTCTCTGTGTTGTGCTCATAAAGGCTTTGTCCAGTTGACCTTCATTTCAGCAGGTGCAAAATATTGATGATTTTGGCCAGATGTTAATGACACTGAATCCCCAGTAATCATCTACTGGTAGCACTTCCAGGTATTAAAATTTGCCGTATCTTTTACTATTGTTTTGCTCTCATTCTTGAAGTCCATCTTACTCCTGTTCTCTGTAGCCAGGCTCCTAGCAATGAGATGCAAGGAGTTGAAATCATAGTAGGCAGTTATAATGGCTGTCTCTTACCTTCCTGATTTGACTTTCTGAAGGTAGACTTCCTGAAGTTCATTAGTTTTCAATAGTTAGAGTCGAAGTTTTCAGAGCTCCTCTTAAGGCTCACAGATCTGTTCAGTGATCGTTTCCAGATCTCCAATAAAAAAGCACAAAGAGAAACCTGTGTGGTGGGTCTCCCCAGCAAACCCAAAGTGCACTGTGATCGGAGGGTGAGACACGGGCCCCCAGCAATAGCAGCAGAAAAAACGAAAAGCAGAACAGGAAATCCCAAAAAGATATATCTTATTACATGAGTGGAGAACAGAAAATAAACGAAGGAAAGAGACGAAGGAAACCAAAGCTGGGGTGATTACCAGGGCCTTAATGAGGAGAGAGGAAAGAGCAGAGAATTCTCTTTCATTGTTTGGCATAATAAGCAAGACCCGTCTGATACTTTTGGGTCTTGGAAATCCTTCCTCTGCCTTTTCCAACAACTGTTTGGTCATATTAGATGAAGAAAAGCATTACGCGCAGAGGAGTTTTCTGTATATGTCCAGTCTGTGTCACTAAATTATCAATTCTTTGAGAGCAGGTGGTAGTAATTTTTTTCAAGCTTTGTGTCCTTCCCAGTGCCTGGGACATAGTTTGACTTAATAAGTGTTTGTTGAATTCAGTTTGAAGCAGTCACCTTAGAGTAGACTAGAAAGGCAAATTACTGATAAGGTATAAGCTTAGTATAAAGAGCCCACTTCTTTTACCTCGATTTGTTTTCCCTATATGATGTCTTATGAAACTCCAGTATCTTAAGTGACTTTAAAACACTGAATTTCCTATAAGAAGGTATCTGATGTTTACCTGTATAATTTTGTTGTAGTGAAATTTGAAACTGACTTCTTAATTTAATCACTGCTAGTTGTTTAGGGTTTTATTTTTCTAAGAATTGGACCTGAGTGGAATGAGGTAAATTTTGGAGAGCACACTAGGAACTGACTGCTGGTTTTTAAGAATGGTTTCTTTTTTTTTTTTTTAAATGTTTTATTTATTTCTACGAGAGAGAGAGAGAGACAGCATGAGCAGGGGAGGGTCAGAGAGAGAGGGAGTCACAGACTGAAACAGGCTCCAGGCTCCGAGCTGGCAGTCAGCACAGAGCCCGACGCGGGGCTCGAACCCACGAACCGCGAGATCGTGACCTAAGCGAAAGTCGGATGCTTAACCGACTAAGCCACCCAGGCGCCCCAAGAATGGTTTCTGAGTGTTTGATTTTGACAAGTTACTGAACTGCTTTGGGATTTTTGTTTTTTAAGTGAATTTTAAGTTGATTTTGCGCTTTTCTAAACTAGCCCTACATACATGAACAGGGACACAAATAGTATCGGGTCCCTAATGGAATCATGCAGACTGGGGTGCCTGGGTGGGTGGCCCAGTCAGTTAAGCTAACTGGCTGACTTCAGCGCTGGTCTTGATCCTGCAGTTCGTGAATTCCGAGCCCTGCATTGCATCGGGCTCTGCGCTGTCACTGCAGAGTCTGCTTCGGATACTCTGTCTCCCTCTCTCTGCCACGCATGCGTGCGCTCGCGCGCTCTCTCTCTCTCTCTCTCTCTTAAAAAATAAATAAATAAATAAGTAAATAAATAAATAAAATAAAATAAATAAAAGAATCATGCAGACTGATTACGGTGGGCATAATGTATTCAGTCCACAAAAAAGGTTGCCATTTTTTGGTGTTTGGTGGCATGATGTGAGAAGCAGAGATTTATTTATTGCTGGAGGAAATCTGTCCAGTTTGTGGTGGGTGACCCAGGAATGGCTTGTCAGCTTGTTTCTAAAGGCTGTTTTTTTCTTATTTCCTGAATGTTCACTGCTAATAACTAAAGATCACATCTTCTAAGTCTCCGTTCAAAGCATTTCAGTGAGAAAACAGCTTATTTATTTTGAGGCCATGGAGTGTGGGAATTGACAGAAAGACTGTCAAAGGCAAACCTGGGTTCAAATCCCAACTCTGCGGCTCTTTCACTGTGTGACCCCGGGCAAAGGCAGAGTTTTCTGTCTCACCATATCCTATTTTCCACAGCTGCGACATAGAAATAATTTTTTTTTTTAAGGTTTACATGAACTAATATATAAATCATGGAACAAGGTCCCTGGCATGTAGGAAGCACACAATATTAGTAGGTGTTATCACTGTCGTTATTGGCACTTTGCCTGTGAATTACCAAATTGAATATTAAACATTCTTTTACTCCCTTCGCATTTTAGCAAAGGTGAAGAATTAGTGTATGATTTTAGTTATCATTTGGTTGGTTTTAAATATTTCAATATATAGCTAAGATTCTTAAGTTGAGGAAAGCCAAGCTTATGCTTGTTACGATCTCAAACATCTGATACAGGGACTTTTAGGAGAGTGTGTCTGTCTGTCTCATAGAGTGTGGGTTTCATAATTCTGTCACACAAATTAGATTTCTTGAGTTTTTTGGCCCGGGAGAAAGAAAGGCAAGGGATCCAGCCACCCGACTTCTCCAAAGTGTCCGTCGTTACACTCCAAACTCTCCAATCTGCCTGTATAGTCATATACATGGTTTTGTGCACACTGTGACAGTACAGGGTTGTACCTTCTGTGAGATTTAAAGGATTTTCCGTGGTAATTTTGATCAGAAGACGTTTTTGCCTTCTGAAGACCACTTTCCCACTGCCCCCACAAAGTAAGGAGCATTCCTGGGAGCAGGTGAGAAGAAACAATAGACAGCAGTTAAGAGTGGAGGTGGGGAGAATCCAGGACAGGGGTGTGTGGGTTGAGGAAAACAGGACTACGAGCAGGCATTGAAGCAGAGAATGAAGCAGTAATATGGTTCCTCCCTGCCAAGTATTTCCAAAGTCTGTATTTCAGGTCCAAAGCCAGAGTTTCCAATCTAAATGTATCCTTTCTGCTAAATGAATCCTTTCTGACTTGCAGAGCCACAAAGAATGTTGTCCTTAATTGTTACTGGGTTCAGTAGAAACTGGAAAGGAAAATAAGACAGCACAGGATGACGGGGTTTACACACACCAAAAAAAAAAAAACCCTTCTGACCATGAGCCTTGAGAGCATCTGCTTGAGTCCTTTGCACAGAGCTGCTGGGGTGGAGCGAGGCTGAGGAGTGCTGTGGTGTGGGTCTGCCACTGCAGAATGGCGAGAGCACCAGTCTTTTAACAAGAGATAGGAACTAGAAGTTATAAAGGAGAGAAGAAGGAAGGGTAAGTGACCCGTAAGTTGCAGGAAGAAGAGAGAAGCACTAACTTTGGTGAGAGGAGGTCTACCCCATCTTTCAATTTCTGCTAACTAGTCCTTCCTGTTGCAGGTGGTACAGGAGTAATGACAGAGCCAGTCGCGGTTCTTCAGCGATTTAATATTCGGGGGTATAAAAATGATCAGGTCTAGTCCCATGTATCGGT